AATAAAAACAATTATTCTAATTTTCAAGACAATAATTAAATACCAATAAATATAGTTTAGAATTTTGTGTTAGATATATACATATATTTTTGGAATTTTTTTCGTGTATCGAATATAACATAAATAAAAGTTTATTTTAAAACAAGTCTTGTGGCGGCAAGTAAAATCTATATTCGATATGTATATATTTAACACAAAATGAGAAAAAATATTGAAAGTGGAAGGTTAGGTAGAGTGGACGTCGATTTTTTTTTAAAGAAATAAAATAATATCTAAATTAGTATTTGAAGAGGGGGGGGGGATAAAGTAAAAAAAATAAAGAGGGCGGGGGGGGGGGGGGTTGAGAGGAAGTAATGGAGTGAGATAAGAAAAATATTTTGCATTTTATAAAAAAATATTATTTTTTTGGGATAATAATTTTTAATCTTAATTTTAAGTAATACTTAATTTTTTAAATTTTTGTCAAGGTGGAATATTTTGTTCATGTAGAGTGTAATGTGACAATTTTTTTAAGTAAAAGAGAGAGTGTGTTACACACACTATGATGAGAGTGTTATAAAAAAGAGATGCGTTTTCAAACTAATAAATGATAGTTTAAATATGAAACTCACACTCTCAATAATTTATGTATGAAACTTAAAAAAAATAAGATATAATTTAAGTGTTTTTTTGACACTTATCTCAGATATTTTCTATCCTTACAAGTTAGATATATTTTCAGGCTATCCCTTCTATTATAAAAAAAATATGGGAATTAAGAAAAAGGAGAAATAAATTGATCTATCAAGTTATACTCACAAGTCACAATAAATATTTTTATGAAGATACAAATATGGTAAGTATATACAAATTTTATTATATACTTTTCAGAATTTCGTTATATAATTCACTTGCCAATATATAAATAGAGCAATTTATTATGAAAATTTTCATAAATCATATATAAATTTTTGATTCATACAATTAAGAAATTGAATAATAAAATTTCGTAATACTATAGCTACAGATTAAATATAATCAAAATTATAGCTACATTACATAATATACTTTAAATATTTGTCATTTTGCCTAATTTTCCTATTGAAGTATGGTCAATATATGTAAAATTCAACTGAAATGTGCACCATTTATTGTATATTGTATATACTATATATGTCTGTATATGTCCGATTGCTTCAGTTGGGGTCCACAACAATAGCATAAACCAGCAAATGAAAAAATTATAAGGTAATTTATATAAATTACTCTATTTTAGGAGCTAATAATTTAGAATAATGCTACTTTGTAATATTATATTTTTTAAGGAAAAATTACGTGGTTAAGCAAATTTATACTACTTAATTACTCATCATAGCTATGGTTTGATAAAATTATCACTCGCGACTAACATTATACATTAATTACGTGGGCTGACTTCCAGTTTGTATATTAGCCACATTTGTATATGTATAATTCGCCATAATTGTATAATTCGCAGCTAACAATTCTTTGTATTTGTATACGATTGTTTATATTTGTATTATTGTATATGACGATGATTTCCTTTGGTTTTTCAGTTGTCATCTTATACATTCAATCTTTTTGTGTATAACTTTTTAAAGTTTGTATAAACGTGTAGTTTTTGGATTTTATATAATATAATTTATACAATGTAATTTGTATAATATATTTTATATAATTGTTAAAAATTCATATATTTATGTTTGTATCAATTTGTTATTTCGAGTTTTATTATATTTGTATAATTTCAGACTTTATATTACTCAATTATACAAAAACACGTGAATTATACAAACGTACCTGCGAATTATACAAACGAGATGCGAATTATACAAATTATTGTCTTCTCTCACTCGCCTCTCCCCCCTTATCCCAGTCTCGCTCGCCTCTCTCCTCCTCCTCCCAATCTCGCTTGCCTCTCTCCCCCCTCTCCCAATCTCACTTGCCATATATACAAATGTATATGTATAATATACAATTATCTAACTGATATACATATACAATTCACCTCTCTCCCACTTTTTTCCCTCTCTCGCTCGCCTCTCTCCTCCCTATAACATGTAGCTACAAATTGTAATTATTAAACTATATCTATAGAGAGCAATTAAACTATTTTTGAGTGGCTATATGTGAAAGTTCATATTTTGGCCCTTGGATATGTGTATCTGCCTATTTCAAATACATGTAAGACATATATATATATATATCAATTGGTGTATCTAATTAAATATATGATTGAAGATCAAATGATTAATACTCCCCCGTTTACTATTAATTGTCATGGTTTCTATTTTTAGAGTTAAACTACAAGAACTTTGACTAACATTTTAAAATGTATTTTTTCATCATATTGATATGCAAAAAATTGCAATTTATAGTTTTATATAGTTTTTGAATATCTAAATTTTTTGTTTAAAATATCGAATTAATGTAATCTAATTTAACTTTAAAAATTAGTCAAATTGACTTTTGAAAAGCGCAACATGATAAATAAAAGTGGACGGAGAGAGTAAGAGCGTCTAATTAAGAGATACAACTAATAAACCATTAATTAAAGGGAAAATTGTATATAATAGCAAACTAGTAATTCAAATTAAATGCTATAAATATAGTTTGATTTAATTGTACCTCATAGCAAATTGTTGCTATTTCACCTCTCTCCTGGTGAATCTCGCTCGCCACTCTCGTTCTCTCCCTCGCCTCTCTCGTTTTTTTATACAAACGCAAGTGTATAAAGTGTGTTTGTATAAAACGAGAGAAAATTGTATATATACATATATTTTCATTCCCCTCTCTCCCCTCTCCCAGATCTCGCTCGCCACTCTTCTAGATCTCGCTCTCTCACTCGCCTCTCTCACTTTATACAAAAAACGCAAATTGTATAAAATGCGTTTGTGTTTATATAAAGCGAGAGAAAATTGTATATATACATATATTTTCGTTCCCCTCTCCCAGATCTCGCTCGCCACTCTCCCAGATCTCGCTCGCCACTCTCCCAGATCTCGCTCTCTCACTCGCTCTCTCACTTTATACAAAAACGTAAATGTATAAAATGCGTGAAAATTGTATATATACATATATTTTCGTTCCCCTCTCCCAGATCTCGCTCGCCACTCTCCCAAATCTCGCTCGCTCACTCGCCTCTCTTACTTTATACAATTGATCTTTTTGTATATGTATACCAAAGCAGATTATACAACTGCTTTCTTTTGTATATGTATAGCGAAATATACATATTTATGTTCGCTATGGAGCGCAATTATGCAAACTTTGCTATAACATATAAATATGAATTTTGTATTTGCTATGTGTGAAAGTTGCTCATATAAAAAAAGAATATTTTTTCTTTTTCCAACTTTGTATCAAATTAAATAACATTACATAAATTAAAACGAAACTACATTAAAAAGGAAAAAAAATACAAAAAAGTTTTTTATTTTTAATAATTAATAAAAAAAAAGTACAAGTTGACAACTGGTATTAACCACCAAACGGGCAATTATGATTTATGAGAAAAAAAAAAAAGGTCACCTTTCCTTTCCCTTTCACTTTGTTTTTTTCTTTCCAAATTCATTTTCTCCTCAATTTCCTTCCTTACACAACTCAGCCTTTATTTGTTTGCAGATTTAGCATTATATATTTTAAAAAAAGGTATGTAATAGTAGTCCTTTATCTCGTAATTTATGTGACACAGTTCGAATTGTTAAACATTTTAATTTTGATTGTAAATTCGGGTGTGGAATCTTTTATGATTGACCCTTTGTTTGATAATTTCAGATTCCAGTGATTTTATATTTTATTTTTGTATGAATGTTGATGAACTAATCTGCTATTATTACTTGCTTCAGGTCCTTGGATTCTGAAAATACTATAAAGATTTGATTTTTGATTTTGTGGAGAAACAGGGCCAAACCCCATTTCAATTCTTGGGATTCACCTTCTTTTTTTCACTTAAAGAGAGGATCTTTATAAGATTTCAGAAGTTTTTAGCATTAGTTTGGCACAATATTTGTACTTAAGAGAGGTAGCTTTAGTCTGCCCAGAATTGTCTTTTTATTTTATCTTTTACCTCTTATTTTATGTCTGCTTACACTTTATCCTTTTCGAACCCCACTTCTGTGATACACGGGGTATGTTAATGTTGTTGTTACCTCTTATTTGATTATATATATATCTAGTTGTTTTTTTTAAAAAAAAATTATGCTACTAGAATCTGCCGGTAGTTTCTTATCCTTCGATTACTATCTAATGTCACTTGTAGTTTGACTATCACACTATTTTGTTGTAGTTGTTCCTTTTCTATTTTCATGTTTTGCTTTGTCATGCTTTGTATAGTATCTGCTTTGATATGCTTTTCCTTGAGCGGAGGTCTATACGAAACAACCTCTTTATCTCCCAAGGTTGGGGTAAGGTTTACATACTATACCTTTCCAAGGCTCCACTTGTGGGATTACGTATGTTGTTGTTGTATGCCAGTGGAATATATATAGAAGGCATAATACATAAATGAATATTCAAACTTGGCCTACTGACAAGTAACCACTCCAACTTTGAGAATGCGTCCTTCCTTATTTTCTCCATTCTTTTGGTTTGTTTGTGTCATTTTGTTTCAAATGATTTGGTTTCTTACGACAATACAAATACGTGAAGTGGAAACTTCTTAATTATTGGATGATTAGTTCCTGTCTCTGTTAACAGAAACTGATTAGAATTGGCTCTCAACAATTATTCTTATGATTTATCTTGTCTGTCTGCCTTTGTGGCTTTCTTTTCTAAAAGTTACTTCTTTATTGGTAATCAGTGATAGAGGGAAGTTCAATCCGAATGATCGGTTGTTAAACAGAGAGAAATAACTGTGAACTGACAGATATCTACATTTACAATGTAATCATTTATGTCCTCTCACCTATGCACTTGGATGTTTAGCTTAAATTAGTTTTTGTTTCTGCCTTGTAAGTGATCGGTTCCTAGAGTATTGCCTTTGTCCGTGGTTGAGTGTATCATACTTTACCTCAGTAAAGTACCTGACATTTTGTTTAAACTTACATTCACAGATCTCCCTGTTTGAGCCTTGGAGCATATTGGAGGCATGAGATGGACTTTTTAGGCTGTCTAAGGGACTGAAATAGATATGCAAACGTATCTCTTCTTTTAGCAACAGGATGAAGATAAGGAAATTGTTGCGGAAAATAATTGCTGTTCTGTTGTTCAGAATTGACTGGAAGAAGCTGGTTTTCATTGGTGCTATTCTGACAGTATTTAGGATAATGTTTCAAATTTCTACACTTCCTTATCCTCTTACAGAATGGATTCTCTTCCCACCATCGGAGATTTCATCTTCCCATAATTTGAATCATGAAAAGAACTTAAGAGAACTTCCAGTGAGTCCAGATATCCGGTTTAACCTTAGTCAGCATGCCCCCCTAGTTGTTTCACTCAACTTTACAGACAGACTGAGTGAAACACAGGAAGTTCTGGAAAGACGAGAGCAAGTTTCGAGACAGCGGAAAAGTAGGAAGCATGTGAATGCAGTAGAGAAAGTTTTTTTCCCTTCTTCACCTGTTAGAAACATGTCCAACAATATGCTGGTAAGTTTTTCGTTGTGCTTATATTCCTTAAGAGTAATACTGAATTCGTTCGCCTTATGACTTTCTTTTTTTTCACTGTATTAATATTCCAGAGATACATAGCATCTTTGACTCCAGATGAGGCACTCGCATATGCCAAACGAGAGATTGAGAATGCCCCACTAGTTACGGATGATCAGGACTTGTATACTCCTCTATTCAGGAATGTATCCACCTTTAAGAGGTAGGTATTTGATTATATTTGCTTAGATAGCTTATTTTTCAGATGCTTTATGATGATATTCTCTGATAAAGAATCGTATTTATTATGCTTTGTAAAAAAAAAGAAGAAGAGTCTTATTTATTATGATTATCACTTGATTCAGTTAGATCTTATCCTAGATAAAAGATTAGTCTTTTCTTCACTAATCAACCATTGGCTATTGAAGCCTTTTCTATTATGGAATCTTTGTCATCTGTTTGTGTTTCAAAATTAGCTTTTTCTTTAAACACAATTAGGTTGACATTCCAGGAGCTATGAGTTGATGGAGCTTATACTCAAAGTTTACATTTACAAAGAAGGGAAAAGGCCGATTTTTCATCAACCTTATCTTAGAGGAATTTATTCATCCGAGGGTTGGTTCATGAAGCTGATGGAGGATAGTCGCCAGTTTGTGACAAGGGATCCACAAAAGGCTCACCTGTTCTATCTGCCATATAGCGCACGTCAGTTACAAAAGGCACGATATGTGGTGAACTCACATGATCTTAAGCCGTTATCAGTGTTCCTGTGGAACTATGTGAACATGCTAGCTTCAAAGTATCCTTTCTGGAACCGCACACGTGGGTCAGATCACTTTCTTGTTGCTTGCCATGATTGGGTATGCATCTGTATCGATATTGTCTGCTAAACTATGTATTTCTTTCATGAGCATTCTTCTTTGGACATAAACTTTTAAATTTTCTTTTATGCCTGGGGAATTGGACTTCCTTAAATACAAGAAAAGAGTAGACTTATCTAGTCGTAAGGGCACATCATGTGATGTGTGGATTAGACACATCAAGGAATCGAACCTTGTCACAATCAAAAACCTAGTATTTAAGTGGAGTAGGGTAGATGAACGTATCTATTATTATTCATAGAGTTTCGAACCGTGCAACAATGACCTTCGGACTGGATGGGGTGGTTATAGAAGAAGAATTTTCCTGCATAAGAAACTACTCTCTCTGCCCAATTTATGACACTCTTCCCTTTTTCGTCTTTCGTCTGTCCCAAAAAGTATGTCACCTTTCTATATTTATAAACAATATAACTATAAAATTCTCATTTTACCTTTCGTGAGATGATTTATAGTCACACAAATATCTAGGGTTTGTTTTAGACCACAAGTTTCATAAGTCGTTTTTTTCCTTAAAACTTCGTGCAGTCAAATAAAGCCACATAGAAAATGGAATGGAGGGAGTATATGGTACAAATCAGAAAACCTTTTTTTGCAATTATCATGTGTTGAACTCTTTTCTGGTTATGCATTTTCGATTGATGAGTATTTTGCGTTTTCTTACTACTCTATGTTTTAACAAATTCTTACAGGGACCTTATACTCTAAAGGATCATGAGGAGCTGAGTAGAAACACTATAAAAGCTCTCTGCAATGCAGATATATCTGAAGGAATATTTGTTTCTGGGAAGGACGTTTCCCTTCCCGAGACCACTATTAGGAATCCCAGGAGGCCTCTTAGAAACCTCGGTGGAAAAAGAGTGTCACAGCGCCCGATTCTTGCCTTTTTTGCTGGAAATATGCATGGTCCGGTACGTCCCAAACTTCTCAAATATTGGAGGGACAAAGACGAATCCATAAGAATTTATGGGCTTCTACCCCATAGAGTCTCAAAAGTTATGTCTTATCCTGAACACATGAAATCAAGCAAGTACTGCCTTTGCCCGATGGGTTATGAAGTGAACAGCCCGAGGATTGTCGAGGCAATATATTATGAGTGTGTTCCGGTTATCATTGCTGATAATTTCGCCCTTCCGCTTAGCGAAGTTTTTAACTGGACTGCTTTTTCTGTGGTTGTTTCTGAGAAAGATATTCCTAGGCTAAAGGAGATTTTATTAAGTATACCTCTGCGACGTTACCAGGCCATGCAAAATAATGTCAAGATGTTGCAGAAGCATTTTATTTGGAACTCAACACCGACTAGATATGATCTGTTCCATATGATTTTGCATTCGATTTGGTTTAGCAGACTAAACCAGATTCAAGTATCACAGATATCATAGTTTCTTGGGTTCTGGTTGTCAAGTATTGCAGATAATCATAATTCCTGTCTTCGTGACCTTAAAAGTTATTCAATTTGGATTTTGATATACAAAAACCTTTCAAGAACTACAGCCGGTTCAGTTCTCTTAACTTGTGCACTTGGATGCTTATGCCACTTGGCTAGAAAAACAAGACTAGCTGGCTGTAGAAGGCTGCCATTCTACAAAGGAATTTAGTCAGATTACCTCTGTTCCATGGATCAATTAAGCAATTTCTGATGGCAGAAACTGCTTTGTACTTTGACAAAATCGTACGTTGCTTGCAGAAGACTAACTCAGATAATGCAGTTCGTATTCCAAGTCAAAATACCTGGCAGGTTTTCTTTTGATTATAGTTGTGGGATTCCACTGAATATGTTGTTCTTGTTGTATAGTTGAAGGGCGAAAGGAATGGTGGTTAAAACTTTTGTCCAAACATCATGGCTAGCATTTCACAAATTTCCGATATATTGAACTACTTGAAATGATCTCAAGTTTGAGCAAACAACACAAGAAAAGGAGGCCAGTCCATTGATATTCAAACCAAGGTACAATCACAATGATATCAGTGGAAATGAACTGCAAGGAAGAAGTGAAACTAAGGTATGTTGATGTTGACATGGTCGCGCGTATCTCTCTAAACTTTTTGTAAGTAACAGGATTAGTTTGAGAAAGAAAGAAGAATGAGGGAAAGAGAACAATGGAGAACAAAGAAAGGGAAATTACTCCATGTACAATCAAGCAATCATAATATAAGCATCAGAAAACACAACCAGTACAAACAAGAAACAGTTGCATCACAGCAAACTCGACCGATCAACTTTAGCTCGAAGTTCTGTCTTTCTGGTGCAAGAAGTTCCTTCCTCTGCATTTTTAGTTCCCTGAATGAAGCAACAAAAAGTGAACCTCTAGTTAACATTTGAATGATACATTTATGCTAGTGTTATTAACATAAATGACAAAATCTAAAAGTTAATTGGTATATCTATCACCTGTCAGTTTTACTTCTTTAGGAAACAATGCTCTAAATTTGACTTGAAGTTGATGTCATCCCATTCCAGTAGGTTCCACCATTCTGATGTTCCTTTTATTAGCCTGATCTTATTGGAGGTTTGAATAGAGAAAGGCAATTCCGTTATTTCATAGCAATTGATCAACTTAAGTTCCTCTATGTGATACCACGGCTCCCTCAGTGTTTTTAATTTTGGTAATTCTTTCAACCGTAACTTTCTGACTCTCGGAATTTCTGAGCTAAAAAGTGTCATCTGACTTGAGCTGCATTGCACCAGTAACTCTGTCAGCCGATGACAAAAGGCAACTGATACTTCTTCCAAGTGCTTAGGTACAGAAAAATATCCACCAACAATAAAAAGACATGTTAGATTACGACAAGAGGATATTTCCAGTTGACGTAATCCAGAAAATCTTAGCCCCAGAAGTTGACCGAAATCAGAGACACTCTTTAAATTATGTACAGAAAAGAGACTGAGATGTTCCAGATTTGGCAAAGGATCATCAAACTGTTCATTTCCTTCTTCTGCTGGTGTGAAATCACAAGAACAACTCTCTATGTGTAGTGATTTTAATCTATCAAAACTGTTGTTTGCAATCAACTTCCTGAGACCCCCACATTTTAATAAGTGCAAATGTGAAGCAAAATGTAACATGCCTGAGAGCTCTCCGTTACTGAAAGTTTCACAATGGGAGATGCTTATCATCTTTCTTGACTTGTTGAATGGTATTGACTTTGAAGTTTCCCCAATTTCAATGTGAAATCTTTTCAATCTTTTCATCCAGGTGTGGTCTCTAATGAGAATTGATGAGTTATCCAAATTAATGAAAAGACTGGTCAGATTGTGTAGAGAGGATATCTCATCAAAAGATGTTGGTACAAGAAGAGTCACTCTATTCTTTCTCATCATCCAATCTACATCTCTCGTTTTAGTCGGCAGCATATTTAAGATTTCAATTCTAGGTAATTTGAGGAAAAATCCATGGCTGATGCTCTCCTCCAAATAATCTACAGGCAGATTTAATAGCCTCAGATTCGTCAACTTATCCATTCCTTGAGGCAGACAACATAACCTTGTATTATCACAATCAAACAATTCCAAATTGAAAAGGTTACCAATAGGTGGTAACTTATTCAAGTCATAGCAATTTCGTAGTATTAGAGCACGTAATTGACATAAAATATTGATGGAACAAGGCAGTGCTTTAATACCAGTTTCACTCAGGTTCAGAACTCTTAGGGCTGGAAATGCAAAAAAGAATTCACGGGGAATTTCACTAAGGAGATCATTGTCTTGCAATAGTAAAGTTGTTGTCTCTGGGCATTCTCTGAAGTTATCAGGTAGACTTTGAATTTCTTTGCTTAGGAGAGATATTCTCTTCACAGAAGCTGACATTTCGATATGTGAAATGTCAGTTAACCCGAAGGAATTATCTATCCATATAGCAACATCACGAACCACATCATGCATTTTCACACAATCCGTCTTATGGGCTTCTTCTACCAAGCAAGCATCTTTTAGACTATCAATAATTGTGATTCCCCTGTTGTAAGCTTCTTCATATGTGTCATGTACACCAAGGAACCCCTCTGCCCACCAACACTTTATGAGATCTTCTGTTGAAATAGCTGCTGGATATAAGGAGCAATACAAGAAACAACTTCGAATGTCACCTCTCTTATTCTTCACATGTTTGCTTCTTTGCTTAGAGTATAATTCATTATCCTGAGATTCTAAAGAATCAAAACTCCACTTGATGACCTCGTAAACCTTTTCTGTAACATCTTTGTTATGAGGTTCAGACATTCTAAGTGATTTCAAAGCATCTTCCCAGAGCTCAACCTTTGTCTTCCCTCTCATAGATGTTCCAATAACAGTGATTGCTAATGGTAAACCATCACACTCTCGTGTAATTTCCTTTGCTAATGGTTGAATATCCACCAGGTTGGCAACATCTCCCGCATTTTTGACAAACAGTTGCCAAGATTCATCCTCATCCAATGTGTAAACCTTCATTTCGGTGTCTATTTTCATTTGCTTACAAACAGCCAAAGAACGAGAAGTTATAATGACCTTGCTTCTAGCGGGAGGTTCAGGTTGGGGCACACCTACATCATCCAAATTTATAGCTTCCCAAACATCATCTAGTATGAGAAGGAAACTTTTTTCTTGCTTGAGTCTTTTATAGATTTTGCTGGCATTGCTCTTTACATTTCCCTCCTTATCTACCTTTAGGTTTAATCTACTTGCAATTTGTGTTTGCACGTTTCTTATGTCTATTGGTGGTTTGGGCACTGTAACCCATATCACAACACCAAAAGACAGTTTAAAACTTGACACATCCGTCTTCAGGAGCTTATTGTTCAGATTATTCACCAATGATGTTTTCCCAACTCCTCCCGTACCCCACACACCGATGATGCATACCTAAAAGGATTTAAAAAATAATTTACCAACAAGTGAAAGATGCAACAATGGACGCATAAAAGAGACTTAGAAAATTTGAGAAACAAGGACATAGGAGGCTTTGATCATTGAACCATAATTTGTTGATCTCAAATTTGTTTACAAATCATCATATTATCATACTCCCTCGGTTCCTATTTACATGTCGTCCTTATTAAAAATAAATGTTCCTTAATACTTGTCATTTCACAAAATAAATGCATAAATGATTGTTATTTCAATATTATATGCATACGCGTGTGTGTGTATATATATATATATATCATATATTTTGGTCTTTCTACAGTCTCTTACTCCATGCGTTTAGTCATAGGGGTGTCAATGAGACGGTTCGGTTGGTTATTTTTAAAAAATTATATCATATTAATTTTTTGGGTATTTTATAATGTATAACCAAAATTAAAATTTTTCCAATCTTATCGTTTGCTCTTCGGTATCGGTTCGGTTAATTTTCATTGTTTTTTACTTTTAAAGTATCACCTCAAAATATACTATTATTAAAATATATTTTTTGAAGAAACACTTCAATTCTTCACCATGATGAAGAATATAAAACTGTGTTACCGTATTGTTTGATCTTAAACATTAAATAAGAGTGCTTGCATATGTTTTGCCATATTGTTTGATGGAATACCTATTATAGTATCTAGGACCTAGGTGATTCATATTTGAAAAATGTTATAAAATATATTTATTATTATATTTAACATATTATTAATATATAAATATTACATTTAAGGTTATTCGGTTCGGTTTGAGAATTTTTCAGTTTTTTTTTTTTATAAATTAAAAAGACCATTCCAATTATTCGGGACGGTTATACACTCAAATAGAAAGTCCACGGTTTTACTGAAAAAAGATATACATCTGTTTGGTACAGTTAGGCTCGACTGGTTTTTCATATTCTTTTGACCCCCTTACATTTAGATAGGATATTCTTAAAAAATTAATTAGAGGTGTATTTTACTAAACTAACATTATTAATAATTCTTTGAAACTTTAAATTTGACTACTATTTTATACAATTATTTAATACTAAGGGCAGAGATAAACCAAAATTAAAAAAAAAATTTAATTTCATAAATTGGACAAGTAAATTAAAACAATTATATTTAAAATGAGGGTCAGGTAATATAATCGACATGGGTATTCTCTATTGTCTATGTAAATAAACAAGTTTTTGACTGGTATTGATGGAGTTTAAAATCTAAATAAATGCAATATTTAAAAATTTGACCTTAATTTAATTAATTATTTTGTATTTTTCCGCATCGAAATATATTTGTACAATTATTATTCTCTGCTATTTTCACTTGTATAAACAAATATAAGAGTTTTGATTATTATTAATAAAATTAATTTCTCATTAATATGTTAATTTACTTCATTATAGAACTTAATTAGTAATTTTCACCTTTTCATGATAATGTTTATGCTTTTATTAAAAATTTGTTACATGAATACAAAAACTGTATAAAACATATCATAATATCATGGGTGAAAATAATCATGATATAACTGCATAAAGTAGTAGTAGTCAAATTTAAAGTTTCAAAACATTATTAATAATGCTAATTTAGTAAAATACACATCTAAATAATTTTTTAGAAGGGAGTCATATAAAGAAGAGCCAAATAGTATGAAACACATGGAGTAAGAGAGTGGAGAAAGATAAAAATATATGCATTATGCATGTATATATATACACATGTTTAATGCATATTATATTGAAATAACGGTCATAAAAATAAGGCTTGTTAAATTTTGTGATAGATTCATAAAAATATTATTCTACTATAATATTAATGAACTTAAAGAAAAAGTTATAAATACTTAGGTTAAAAAATAGATTCTGAAAGGTTAAATGCCTAGATAACCCTTTGATTGACATGTTTTGTAAGATAAACCTTCAAACTAAATTAGTGACCAAATAGACATTTGAACTTGACAGAAATGCATCTAGCGAACACTTTAGGTTAACATGGCAAATGGTGTGTTTTACACTTCCATTGAGAGAGTGAGTTTCTATCCTTTTTAAATAATAGGTTAGAACAGTCAAGTTGGTTCGCTCGATCAAGTTAAGGCATCGGATTCCAGTCACGACTCGACTAAAAAACAGGTTGTGACACTTTTATAATTAATCTGATAATTTTCTACCACCAGATAGTAAAATATTAGAATTAAATCTTGAATTAGTTCCAATATTACCTTATCATCTTCTAGTAGTCGTAGGATTTTGTTGAGATTTTTTGTTGCTGCTGACTGGCCTTCTATTGATGTTCCCGGGATGAACTCAACTTTTATAATCTGATAATTTTCTACCACCAAATTGGATCCAAAGCTTTCTCCGATTTGTTTAAGCCTGTGAAGTTGATCTTGGATCTTCTGTGCTTGAGTGGAAACCTCCGAGCGAAGGCTGCATTTTGGACAACATTTATATGCAAGCGTCTTAGCCGTTGCAATGCTATCTTGCATAGATTCCCATTCTTTCTGCAGCTCGCAAACATCTTCCAACCACTTGATAACATCTAGTTTTGGTTTATAGCCTTCTCCCTCAGCTTCTTCCATCTTTCCTTTGATATCATTTCTAAACTTTGTTAGCTTCTCCATTTCCTCCTTTAGATTTTCAATTTTTGACGAGAAACGGACAATATTTTCAATCTTAGGATAGATGCATTTACATACAAACTTTCCCACCTCAACAACAAAGCCACCTACAACATTAAAAAGTATATCCATTGAACAATTCTTTAGGTAAATAATTTTATTTTTTTTTCTGATTAGAACACTAATGATGCTCTCAAAGATGGTCAATTCATAAACTGAGTGCTTCTTCAGTATTTATAGCACAATTTTGAGAGAAGGTAAAAAGTAAAAAGTAAAAAGTAAAAAAAGAAAGCAAATAGAATAAGTAAAATTGAAGGCAAATATGATCAACAAAGCAATACTTTATTCTTGTAAAATATCTTGTCCCATTTTGTAAAATGATTGTTTCATTCTTAACTTCATGAACAGAATTGTCTTTATTCTTTTCTTTGATTCCTATTTTCAGAAGCATGATGAAATCGAACACGTAGTGCAGATTGGGTGAGGAAAAAATGAGATACGATTAATGTCAAAAGTGACCATTCTGTGAGCATTGTATGAACACACGATAACTCATGTTTGATTCCTGTTTTCAGGAGCATGAAATCAAACACTCTATTCTCTGCCGGATTTGAAGGCTTAACCAGATTGAGAAAAAGAAGGGGATGTGACCAAGTAGGTTGAAACTCCCAAGGCCGGTCTCATATTCAAATCCCAATGGAGGCAAAAACACTAGGACAATTATCTTGATCGTGGAATTTGTAGCATTCCAAACACCTATAGATCCAACTACAACTAGACAGCCAGCCGGTTATAATTATAATGGTTCTAAGGTAGCGAAATTTCTTGTCTGCTAAGTTTTCAGCTGTTTACCATAGAACCTTTTACCATACGAGAAACCTCTGTCACAAATGTGTAATAGAGTACTCTCTCATATTTCAAATTATGATTATCGTTTTCCTTCTTTTGTCATGAGAACAAAACATGGAAAAATCAAGATCATCATGTGCTAAATTTTGAAGGTAAAATTTAAAAACCAGAAGCAATACAAGTTTATAACAAATTAACAAGATGATCACACAACACAACTGAAACAGTTTCCAAAAAAGTGATTTTCAGTTTCCAAAACGTTTATACTTATTATCATGAACTTGTTGTAAGGAGATGTTAAATATATTATCAGAACTCGAGAAATCAAGTAGATTGGCTAAATTTCTAATGTTTAAACATAGAAGCAGCACCAATTCATTACAAATTAACAAGATGATCAGACAACACAACCGGAACAAGAAATGACTCGGTGTATAGCTAGTCAAGCAATCAAAATATCAGAACCAGAAAGCAAAAATAGTACAAAAAAGGAACAGTTATTGGCATAAAAAACATCTGACAGCACACTCCACCGAATAACTTTAGCTCGAAAATATCCGTCCTCTGCTCGAAACTCCTGAATAATAACACCTGTGATAATAAGAAAAAGAAAAAGCAATATAAATTCTATTCAATTGCCTCAGGCATATATATAATCATTTTTTAAATTCGACAAAAAGACTAACAAAAGATTCAGGCAATATAAATTTTGGCAAAGATTGCACTCATCTCTCGGCCGCAATTGTTCTGTCCAAGGCAAAGCTAAAACAACTAAGGACTTGCTCGTGTAGAACTGAAGATGTCCCTAGGTTCTAGTTGTTAAGACTTTGTACTTTGTTCTTATTATCATTGTAAGCCTACTTTTATTTGTAGAAGTAAGTGTAGGTGACTTGTTTGTATTTCATTCTTGTGGTATGCTTTGCTCTCAGTTAGAGTTAGCTGAGTCACATGGTATTTGCAATAGAGGTATTGCAGTATAGTCTTACAATAGAGTAGTTGGTACTGGAAGAAGGTTAATGCTTTGAAAGCAGAGATGCAGGTTTGGTATTCATTTGGTGCTTACTTGCTCACTCCCGGGGGAAAGTACTCATTCACACAGAGTTACAATACACTATTGGGGCAACATGCTAGACTTAGAGTGTCTGACTTAATCTCGACAAGATTTGCTCAACCTAAGCATAAGTTCATATTGTGGCTAGCTATGCAAGAGACACTTACAAAGAGTGCTAATTGTCGCTAAAAATACATGTTTAGCGGCAATTAAGCTATTGCCGCTAATTAAATGCCACTAAAGATCATTTTTGGTGCAGTGGCTATGCAAGATAGATTACTAACCAAAGAGAGACTCAAGTGATTAAACGTTCCAGTGGAAGATGACACATGCTGTTTGTGTGATAAATCAATGGATGAGACACATATCCATCTGTTTTCTACTTGTGAATGGATAGTGAGAGTCCAAACTGAAATGCAACAATGGTCTGGGACACTTATTCCTATTGGAACTGTCAAACATATCCTCTAAATAGACTCAGAAGGAAGAATTAGCAGCAATTTCACAAGGAACTTATTGTTGCATTGTGCGGAGCAATGATATACCATGTTTGGAGAGCAAGGAACTGGAAACTGTTTAAAGGCATCACTGTAGAATTCAGATACAGCCGTGACACAGATTAAGAAGGAATTGTAAATAGACTTGAGGTAGTCAAACGGTGTAGAAACAGAGATTTGTGTAACTAGAGCTCTGTAGGAGGCTTAACTCTCTTCGTACCCATTAGGAGGTTGAGTGCTCTTTAGGTGTATTTATTTTTTCGCTTGTTAATGGAAATTTACATTGGTTACAAAAAAAAAACAGATTGTAATATGAACATTGGTTGGTGATTAGTGAAGATGTTGAGAATCCTATGTGGTAGGTCATGTTTTTACTCTCTTGAGCAAGGAGATTACCACGCAAATTCTCTCTGTTCTTACTATTTGTTAAACTTGTCCTTTATCTCTGTTAATTGCACCAGAATCAAGGGAGGAACCTGGTTCACCGATTTGTGGTGGATTATATAAGCCATCAAGAATGCTAATGACACTCTCAAAGATGATCAAATGAAGCTACTGACTGTTTCTTCTTTGTTTAAGGCATAACTTGGAGAATTAAAAGAAAAAAATTAATAAGAAAACAAAGAGAATTATTTGTAAACATCAACGACTTGACATAATAAGAAAACTAGGCAACATGGTTTAAAACAATTAAGTTCATCCATTTTACTTTAGTTAAACATCAACAACTTGACATATATAATAACAAAACTAGGCAACATGATTTAAAATAATTAAGCCCATCCACTTCACAGTAGGTAAATGTCAACAACTTTGACATATACAAATAACAAATCTGGGCAACATGATTTGACACAATAACCACTCGGAAGAAACCACGAAATTCATTCCTATCATTTAAATCGAGATACAAAGTAGCCATCATTACGATCCATTCGTGTTAGACCCATCACTGTTTTCCCTTTCATTCATGCTTCAATTTAAAATTTTAGACCATAGTTGTGTTCTCCGATCCCCCAATACAATGTAGACACTTAAACAATCCAAAAGTTAAAGAAGTAGGCATATGTATCCTATGTGGCATAATACATGTAGGATGCCATGTAGGACACATAACTGCCCCATAGGATGCCACATAGGATACGTGTGTCTTCTTGTACAACTTTTGAAAAGTTTAAGTGTCTACATGTGCATGCCCAAAAATGAAGGGCATAGATGTCAGTTGAAGCCTAGTTAAGGGACACATTTATGTATTATGCCTAAATTTTAAATGTACAATTTAAGAATGCTCTAAAATGTTTAAATGCAGAAGCAATATTACAAATAAACAAGATGATCACACAACACAATCGAAACAAGAAATTACTCCATGTACTATCAAGCAACAAAATATCTAACAGGAGCAGTTACTGGCAGAAAAAAAAATTAAGACATTTAACAGGAAATACATCACAGCAAACTCGACCGATCAACTTTAGCTCGAAATTCTGTCTCTCTGGTGCAAGAAGTTCCTTCCTCTGCCTTTTTAGTTTCCTGAATGAAGCAACAAAAAGTGAAGCTCTAGTTAGCATTTGAATGATATTTGGTTGTCAGAAAATATTTTCCATCCCAAGTTATGTGGCACATTTTGGATTTCGAGAGCCAAATGAGTTTTTAATTTAACAGCAATTTTTTTGTCTGAGAAATATTTTGAACTATCTTAAAGTACTTTCCGAAAGTCAATTGGCACATCACCTGAGATGTAGTGAAAGTAACGTCAACTCTGATCAGACTGGTAGTAAACAATGCTCTAAATTTGAGTTGAATTTATCGTCATCCCACTCCAATAGGCTCCACCATCTCGGTGATCCTCTTATTACTTTGATTTTGTTGGAGGTTTGAATAGAGAGAGGCAACTTCTTCATTTCATAGCAATCGATCACCTCAAGTACATCCATGTGTTCCCACATACTCTGTGGCTCCCCCAACGTTCCTAATTTTGGTAAGTCTCTCAGCACTAACTTCCGAACTTTTGGAATTTCTGAGTTGTCGAGTGCCCTCTGACTAGAGCCGCATTGTACTAACAACTCTACCACCTGTTTACAATGGTTAATTGTAATTTCTTCCAAGTGCTTGGGTACAGAAAAAGCACCACCAACACTAAAAAGACATGTTAAATTACGACAATAGGATATATCCACCTGTCGTAATTCAGAAAATCTAAGACCCAGAAGTTGACCGAAATCAGAAACACTCTTTAAATGATCTATAGAAGCGAGGCTGAGATGTTCCAGATTTGGCAGAGGGTCAAACTGTCCACTTCCTTCTTCAGATGGTCCGAAATCACAACTACATTCGTGAATGTAGAGTGATTTTAATCCATCAAAACTCTTGTTCGCAATCAACTTCATGAAACCCATGCATTTTTCCAAGTGCAAATGTGAAGCAAACTGCAACATGCTTGAGAGCTCTCCGTTACTGAAAATTTCACACTTGGAGACACTTATCATCCTTGTTGACTTGTTGAATGGTACATGAGTTGGAGTATTCCCAATTTCAATGTGAAATCTTTTCAATCTTTTCATCCAGGTATGATCTCGATTGAAAATTGATAAGCTATCTAATCTAATAAAAAGAGATGTCAGATTGTGTAGAGATGATATCTCATCAAAAGAAGTTGGTCCAAGAACAGTCCTTGGCCGAATATTTCCCGTGGTCCAACAATAAAGGTCACCAATTTTACTATGCAGCATCTTTAACATTTCAATCCTAGGCATTTTGAGGAAAAATCCTTGGCCAATGCTCTCCTTCAAATCACCTACAGGCAGATTTAATAGCCTTAGATTTGTCAACTTGTCCATTCCTTGCGGCAGACAACATAACTTTACGTCATCACAATCGAGCAATTGCAAATTGCAAAGATTACCAATAGGTGGTAACTCTCTCAACGAACAACAATTTTGTAGTATTAGAGCATGTAGCTGATATAAACTATTGATGGAAGAAGGCAAAGAACTAATACTAGTTCCACTCAGGTTCAGAACTCTTAGGGATGGAAATGCCAAGAAAAGTTCATCCGGAATTTTCTCAAGGGGATTCTTTTGCAATAGTAATGATGTTGTCTCTGGGCATTCCGTGAAGCAATCAGGTAGACATTGAATTTTGTTGCTTACGAAAGATATTCTCTTAACAGAAGCTGATACTTTAGAATGTGATATCTTAGTTAACCCAAAGGAATTATCTATCCATATAGCAACATCACGAACCACATCATGCATCTTCACACAATCCATCTTATGGGCTTCTAGCAAGCAGGCATCTTTTAGACTTTCAATCGTTGTGATTCCCCTGTTATAGGCTTCTCTATATGTGTCATGTTCACCAAGGAACCCCTCTGCCCACCAGCAATGTATAAGATCATCTATTGAAATAGCTGCCGGATATAAGGAGCAATATAAGAAACAACTTTGAATGTCACTTCTCTTTTGGTTCACATGTGTGATTCTTTGATTTGAGGATAATTCACTATCCTGAGATTCTAAAGAATCAAAACTCCACTTGATGACCTTGTAAACCTTTTTCTCTACATCTTTGTTATGAGGTTCGGACATTCTTAGTGATTTCATAGCATCTTCCCAGAGCTCGACCCTTGGCTTCCCTCTCATAGATGTTCCAACAACAGTGATTGCTAAAGGTAAACCACCACATGCTCGTGCAATTTCCTTTGCTAATGGTTGAATATGTTCCAGATTGGCAACATCTCCCGTATTTTTGATAAACAGTTGCCAAGATTCATCCTCATCCAATGTGGAAATATTCAGTTCAGTGTGTGTTTTCATTTGCTTACAAACACCCAAGAAACGAGAAGTTATAATGACCTTGCTTCCTGCGTGATCTTCAGGTTGGGGCACACCAACATGATCCAAATCTATATCTTCCCAAACATCATCAAGTATGAGAAGGAAACTCTTTTTTTCGTTTAGCTTTTGGAAGATTTTGCTGGCATTGCTTTCTTCACTTCCGTTGTTATCTACCTCCAGGTTTAATCTTTTGGCAATTTTTGCTTGAACCTGACTTATGTCCATTGGTTTGGGCACTGTAACCCATACCACAATACCAAAAGACAATTTAGACCTTGACACATCAATCTTTCGAAGTTCGTTGTTCAGATTCTTCACCAGAGTAGTCTTCCCAACTCCTCCCGTACCCCACACTCCTATGATGCAAACCTGAAAGGATTCAAATACCCCAAAAAATAATTTACCCACAAATGAAAAATACAACAAGAGTCATGTAGAAGAAATATAGAAAATTAGAGAAAGAAGGATGTAGGAGGCTTTGATGCAACAATGGTCATATAAGTACCCCGTGAACTATACCCAAAGTTCCGAGGACACACTTCATCTTTACGCGGACCTATTTGTTGTGATATATATTATTCACTACGTGGTTGGATATAAAATTCAATTTTAATAAAGATTTAAATGGATCATATTACACAAATTTTTGAAAATATATACATAAATTATCTAATTTTACGGAGAGATCACAGGTTTACATGCCCCAGATTTTCACCCTGTAATGGATAATAAGATCCCTCGTAAAAGATAGAAAGTGTCTTGAAAATTCGTCCATAGATTACGGATACTTGATGTCTTTTGCCTAAAATCTAATTAGACAGGAATTAATGAAATTAGCAGTTACCAAATCCTAAAATATTTAAAATTAAATGTTAATTTAATTCTAACAATTACCTTATCATCTTCTAATAGTTGCAGGATTTTGTTGATATTCCTTGTTGCTGTTGACTGACCTTTTACTGATGGTCCCGGGATGAACTCAACTTTTTTCATCTGGTAATTTTCTACCATCAAATTTGATCCAAAGCTTTCTCCAACCTCTGTAAGCTTGCAAAGTTGATCTCGGATGTTCCGTGCTTGAGTGGAGACTTCCGAGCGAAGGCTGCAATTTGGACAACATTTATATGTAAGCATCTTCGCTGTTGCGATGCTTTCTTGCATAGTTTCCCATTCATTCTCCAGCTCGCGAACATCCTCGATCCACTTGATAACATCTGGTTTTGGTTTATAGCCTTCTCCTTCAGCTATTTCCACCTTTCCTTTGATATCATCTCTGAACTTTGTTAGCTTCTCTATTTCCTCCCTTAAATTTTCAACATTTGATGAGAAACAAACAATATTTTCTATCTTAGGATAGATGCATTTCGATAGAAACTTTCCCACCTCAACAACAAAGCCACCTACAACGTTAATAAGTATTTCCATTGAACAATTCTTGAGGTAAAGAAAAGTAGATATATTTCTGATCAGAATGCTAAACTGTTTGTGTAAGGCAGAATTCAGAGAAGTAAAAGAAAAAGGCAATGACAATTAATTTAGAACTCAAGAACTTAAAATAATTAGAATTCCGAACACATAAGCTCATCCATTAATGCAAAATGCCGACAACCACACACAGAATTGTTACATTAATCTCAATAGTCCCCACTTGGAAAGATGCCTTTTGACTAAATGATTCTTTTCTATTTTCCATACATTGAATTGTCAAGCCTGGCAGTTAGCATCACAATCAGTATTGTCTTGTATATATGTCATCAAATGTAACCTATAGTGTATGGACTCTTGTAAATTTCCAAAAACCTTTTCATCAATCAATGGCATTATATTTTAGACTGGTATCAGAAATTTTTCCGTGTTATTTTTTATTGCTAACGTTAAATGTTTTGATTTGTTGTAAATACTGAATGCATGTTATGTTGTAAAATATGTTTATTGAAAGGAAGTATACATGGATTGATGATTTGGTAAAGACTTTTTAGCTTTTCATGAAAGTGTGTTGGTATGATGGAAAATATTTCTCTAGGTAAAACATTTGGACAAATTAAGTTGTTTTTCTTCATAATTATCTCAACTTTTAACTTTATGTTATGGTTTTAACTAACATCAGACATTGTCAATCAAAACATTGTCAAATATTCCATCACAACACGATCTTCTTTGCTAATGCTATTGTCGATCTATAATAAATGTTTTTTTGAAAAATACTTTATTTATAGCACAAAGGTGTAATAGGCGCTCTCAGATTTCAAACTCTTGATAGCTGGTATACATGTGCTATCATGAGAACAAAACATGGAAAAAGAAGATGATGAGCTAAATTTTGAATGTACAATTTCAGAATGCGCTAAAATGCTCAATACAAATTAACAAGATGATCACACAACACAACTGTAACAAAAAACTACAATAGAACAAAAAGGAATAAGTTATTACGACATCTGATAGGCGCGAACTCTGCATCTCTGGTGCAGTAAGTTCCTTCCTCTGCTTTTTTAGTCCTGCATGAGGCAACAACAAGTGAACTCTGCATCTTTAGTGTTATTACTATAACAATAATTTAAAATGAAATTTTTTAAATCAAGTAGAAATAAAAAGGCAAATTCTATTTTGATTAGTCTTAGATAAAATAATTAAGAGTATCTTCACATTAAGTTGACATGAGAGAAAATGATCAAATTTTTTTTTCACAATAACATTTTTAAAAATCGAATTACCAAATTAATTGAGAAATGTGAAAGGTAATTAGCACATCACCTGAATCAATGCTCTAAATTTGATCCTTTCAGTTTTACCAACCGAGATATGGTACGAAGCAATGGTGTAAATTTGACTTGAAGTTGTCGTCATCCCACTCTAATCGGCTCCACCATTCTAATGATCCTCTTATCACTTTGATGTTGTTGGATGTTTGAATAGAGGGAGGCAACTTCCTTATTCCATAGCATCCGATCACGTCAAGTTTCTCCAGGTATTCCCCTAACGTTTCTAACTCTACCACCTTGAAACAGAAGGACAAATTTATTTTTTTCAACTGCTTGGGTACAGAAAAAGCGTTGAAAAGACATGTTAAACTTGAACAACCGAATGCATCCAGTTGTTGTAATTTAGACCCAGAAGTTGACCGAAATCAGAAACACTCTTTAAATTATATACTGCAACGAGGCTGAGATATTCCAGATTTGGCAGAGGGTCAAACTGTCCACTTCCTTGTACCGCTTCTCCGAAATCACAAGAACAATGCTCTATGTAGAGTGATTTTAAACCATTAAAAGTACTCTTCTTGTTCACAATCAACTTCCCGAGACCCATGCATTTTAACAAGTACAAATCTGAAGCAAACTGCAACATGCCTGAATGCTTGAAATTTTCACAATCCAAGACGCTTATCATCTTTCTTGACTTATTGAATGGTATACTCATTGAAGTTTCCCCAATTTCAATGTTCAATCTTTTCATCCAGGTGTAGTCTCTATTCAAAATTGATGAGCTATCAAAATTAATATAAAGAAAAGTCAGATTGTGTAGAGACGATATCTCATCAAAAGACGTCAGTCTGTGACGGTCTCTCCGAATATTTAACATTTCAATCCTAGGCAATTTGAGGAAAAGTCCTTCGCCGATGCTCTTCTCAAAATTACATACAGGCAGATCTAATAGCCTCAGATTTATCAACTTGTCCATTCCTTGCGGTAGACAACATAACCTTGTATTATCACAATCGAGCAATTGCAAACTGCAAAGATTACCAATAGGTGGTAAACTCTTCAAATATAATACAATGGTGTAGTATTAAAGCACGTAGTTGACATAAACTATTGATGGAACAAGGCAATGTTGTAATACCAGTATGACTCAGATTCACAACTCTTAGTGCTGGAAATAACAAAAAGAATTCATGGGGAATTTCCCTAAGGCTATAATTGTCTTGCAATAGTAAAGTTGTTGTCTCTGGGCATTCTGTGAGGTGCTCAATTTTGTTGCTTATGAAAGACAATCTCTTGACAGAAGCTGGCACTTCATTATGTGAAATGGATTCATCTATCCATTTAGCAACATCACGAACCACATCATGCATCTTCACATAATCCACCTTATCAGCTTCTAGCAAGCAGGCATCTTTTAGACTTTCAATCATTGTGATTCCCCTGTTGTAGGTTTCTTCATATGTGTCATGTTCACCGAGGAACCCCTCTGCCCACCAGCAATGTATGATATCATTTGTTGACATTGCTGCCGGATATAAGGAGCAATACAAGAAACAACTTCGAATGTCACCTCTCTTTTTGTTCTCATGCTCTGAGGATAATTCAATATCATCCTGAGATTCTAAAGAATCAAAACTCCACTTGATGACGTTGTAAACCTTTTTTTCTACTTCTTTGTTATGAGGTGTGGATATTCTAAGTGATTTCAAAGCATCTTCCCAGAGCTCGACCCTATTCTTGCCTCTCATAGATGTTCCAATAACAGTGATTGCTAAAGGTAAACCACCACACTCTCTTACAATATCCTTTGCGAATGATTGAATATGCTCCAGATTGGCACTATCTCCCGCATTTTTGACAAATAGTTGCCAAGATTCATCCGCATCCAATGTGTAAACCTTCATTTCAGTGTCTATTTTCATTTGCTTACAAACATCCAAAGAACGAGAAGTTATAATGACCTTGCTTCTTGCGGGATCTTCAGGTTGGGGCACGCCTACGTCATCCAAATTTATAGGCTCCCAAACATCATCTAGTATGAGAAGGAAACTCTTTTCTTGCTCGAGTCTTTGATAGATTTTGCTGGCAATGCTTTTTACACTTCCCTCATTATCTACCTTTAGGTTTAATCTGCTAGCAATTTGTGCTTGAACATTTCTTACGTCTATTGGCGGTTTGGGCACTGTAACCCATACCACTACACCAAAAGACAGTTTAGGACCTAACACATCCGTCTTTAGGAGCTCATTGTTCAGATTACTTACCAATGTTGTTTTCCCAACTCCTCCGGTACCCCACATACCGATGATGCATACCTGAAAGAATTCAAATGTCCCAAAAAAATAATTTATCCACAAGTGAAAGATGCAATTTCTGCCATATAGAAGAACTTTAGAAAATTTGAGAAACAAGGACGTGGTAGGCTTTGATCATTCAGTCATAATCTCTTGATCTTAAATTTGTTAGCTTAACCTCCTTAAGAAAAGAAGCAGTTGCACCAATATTTATAATAGAAAAAAAAATCAACTTTTGGCTAAAAAACATTTTGACAATAAAATCTAATTAGACAGGAATTAATAAAATTAGCAACTACCAAATTCTAAACTATTTAGGATTACTAATCTTGATTTAAATTCAGTAATACCTTATCATCTTCTAACAGTTGCAGGATTTTGTTGAGATTCCTTGTTGCTGTTGACTGACCTTCTATTGATGGTCCCGGGATGAACTCAACTTTTTTCACTTGGTAATTTTCTACCACCAAATTGGATCCAAAGTTTTCTCTGACCTCTTTAAGCCTGCTAAGTTGATCTCGGAAGTTCCGTGCTTGAGTGAAGACTTCTGAGCGAAGGCTGCAATTTGGACAACATTTATATGTAAATGTCTTTGCCACTGCAATGCTTTCTTGCATAGTTTCCCATTCATTTTACTTCGCGAACATCTTCAATCCACTTGACAACATCTGGTTTTGGTTTATAGCCTTCTCCCTCACCTTCATCCACCTTTGCATTGATATCATCTCTAAACTTTGTTAGATTCTTCATTTCCTCCCTTAGATTTTCAATCTTTGACGAGATACAGACAATATTTTCAATCTTAGGATAGATGTATTTACACATGTACTTCCCTACCTCAACAATAAAACCAGATACAACAGAAGAAAGCATATCCATTGTTCAGTTAAAAGATGTTTAAGGCAAAAGAGACGAAGACTATGCAACACTACATGGGCGGAGTTAGAGTATAAATTATGAGTTCTGTTCAATCCAATAACTTTGGTCTAAGTTCATTAAATATATACAACTATTAATTTAGAACTCACCAACTTAGAATTAGAACTTCGAACTCATAAGCTTCAACAGCGATTGCTAATAATTGAACACATACTCATCTTTACAGGCTAAAGTCTGTCCATACATTAATCTCAAGAGTCCACACTTGGAAAGATGCCTTTTGACTAAGGATCCTTTTCTATTTATCCAAAAAACCAGATAAATATGGAAAACACTACCAGAAAAGTAGACCTTTTTTCACCTTGAATCAATGAAAAAATTGTACCAAAAAGATTATTTTCCCACTTGTTTCCCATCAAACAACTCAGGGAAACACACGGTGGGAAACAAACTCTCATTGAAATACTGGAAAGCTTTCTAATTTTTCCATATAAAAACACTTATTTTTTCTTTTCTTACTAATTCAATCAAAATATCTGCGGCCGCTGAAGTTTTTTCAATGAGAAATTTCATCGTGAAATAATAATTTCTTCCATAGTGAATAGTCTCCTCAACTTTATCAAAGTTTCGTAGTAGATCCTCAAGGCCAGATTCTTGTTCTGCTATGGTAATATTTTTCAGTTGCGGTATTATTTGTTAGAAATCAAAAGAACAAACATATAGTTAGAAATAATTGTATCTAAATTAATTTATAAAAGTGAATTGAGACGTAAACTAGTTTATATCAGTATTAATTTGAACTTAAGAATATTGTTTATAGCAATACTAATAACATTCTGTAACGCATGTACATACTCCAAAAATGTAAAAAATAATACTCAAATTGATAAAAATGCATTTGAATGAAGGAGTAGGAGCAATACTAATAATATCCTGTAATCTTTTCTTTAGGCAGGTACACAACATACACACCATAATCTCACAAGTGGGGTTGGGATGGGGAAAAATTATGTCCCTACCTTGGCGAGGTAGAGAGTTTGTGTCAGATAGACCCTCGGCTCATCTCTTTCAATCCTTAATGACATCAAATTGTGAAAGCCTTTTTTCCTTTTCTTTCCACCAGACAAGAAAGAATCTCTTCCAAAACATCTGTGAACATTTTCTTTTTGGATAATGTTTGGTGCCCAAGCCAACAAGCACCTCTACTATTTCACGAGTACCTAATACCTCCTACAAGCATATGTACCGAGTGACTAATATTTGCAGATGTTTTATAAACCTCTCAAAAATTAAAAGAACGAAAGAAATCAAGTACAGAAGTGACGCGCTAAGTTGTAGACAGAAGTGCATACTAGTGCCTTAAGCATCTCCCTACAGAAACACCCATGTGAGTGTTGAACATGTCATGGAACAAGTGGTTTACTATCCCAGACCTCCCTTGCTCCAACTAAATCAGGGCGGTATCTCTTTGCTAACACTTGTACTTGTGCATCAAATGACTTGTTTTCATGTTGACTTATTTGACGCACCATCTCTTTCCATCTTTTTCGACATAAATCTCCATGCCTGTGGGAGAGAAGATTGTCCCAATCCACGTCCTCTATGCAGCTTGCGTCCAGTTCAAAAAGGGCAGCAATTAAGCGATAGTCATCAGTATCTGCCCATTCACCTGCAACCACCATCGAGGATGTTAATTGTCTGTACCATTTATTGCAGCAATGGTGGGAAATCCTGGTGGACAAATTGTCACTAATTGAACTCCAACAAATATTATCCCGTAACATCCCATGCTTAGATTTCCTTTCGTCAGAGAGCTTAAGTTGCAGATCGGTGTTTACTAAATCAAACAATTTCTGTACTTCCTCCTGATCCCACTGTCCCCTCTTCCGATTTTCCAGTTTTATCCTATGCCATGCATTTCCTACATGAACCGGATGTTTCCCAAGTTCATCCGCCAAGACGGTCCACTTATTCCCATGTTGTCCCTGGAACTTCCGTAGCATCCCATGCTCTTCTTCAGTCCATTTACGCTTCTCTCCCATTTGAAACAAACGTTGTGCACGATAATAAACTGCTCTGTAAGGCCTGTATGGTATAGCCTTCCCTATCTCTTTCCAGCAGCCCCTTACTTCAGGATAAGACTTGCAATTCAAAACCTTTTGCAACCCTTCATCGCCCAAATTATATACCTCTATGTATCTACAAACAGCATCTTTGACGATTTCATCTTCTTCCTGTGTGAATTTTTTGCCAAACAGTAATTCTTGTTTGTTATTTTCATGCCTCTCATTGCTAGGTTCACTGATTGGATGGAAAAACTGTACATTATCAGAAAATCTCACTCTTTTTTCAGTCTTTTCATTAGAAAGATCTTTCGAATTGTGCCCTAATTTAATCTCTTTCATCTTTCTGATATTAGCATCATCTATTTGTATATCTTTCGTCTCTTCTATAGCTGAAACATCACCTTGAATGACACCAGCCACAATATCTACCTGTCCATCCTTTTTATTCCTCGTATCCTTTTTCCTTTTCTTCCTCTTCATCTCATCTATAGCTGAAACATCACCTCGAATGATGGCAGCCACGATATCTACCTGTCCATCCTCTCTTTTCTTCTTATCCTTTTTCCTTTTCTTTCTCATCACCTCGTCAGCTGAAACACCACCTTGAATGACACCAGCCACGATATCTACCTGTCCATCCTCTTTATTCCTCTTATCCATTTTCCTTTTCTTCCTCTTCATCTCATCTATAGCTGAAACATCACCTTGAATGACACCAGCCATGATATCTACCCGTCCATCCTCTTTTTCCCTCTTATCTTTTTTCTTTTTCTTCCTCTTCACCTCATCTGTAAGATTTCCACCAGAGCCCTTGCTGAGCATCTCAACTGCCTTGATTTCCTGTGTTTTGCCGGCACTTTCATGAGCAAGTGTTTTGGTGTCTAAACTAGCATCGTGCATTATCAGTATCTCCAGCTCATTCTTCAACTTCTTTTTCATTTTTAAACCATTTTTAACAGCATCCTCGCACCCTTCTTTACTGGATTTCCCAGGCTGTTTTCCACTACCTCTTTCTTTCTTTCTCTTGATGTCACTATCTTCACTTTCCCCAGGTGCTTCAGTTTCCATCTTTGTCTTATCCCTTTCTTTCTTGATCTCTGTAAAAGAGACTCTCTTCCTTGAAACATGAATCATGCTCAACAGCTTTAACATCTCCCTTTGTCACTTTCGAATCATCGGTGGCAGCATTCTTTTTCCTTTTCTTGGATTTCTTCTCCAACTTCATGAGCATATCAACCTTCTCATCTCCTTGGACCATGCCACTTTTAGAAAATGCCACCTATGTTCCTCTTGCAATGCACAAAAAGAGGGTTCTCTGCAAAAGAGAAAAATAGAGAAAACGTATGGTTAAGTGACAAGAGTGATATGGATTAGCACACACAATTTAGAGCTCATACAAGTAGACAGGACATTACACACCTGCAGCTTAACGAGAACATGACCTTAAATATGAGGATATGACGGTCGAGGATTAGGGTAGAAGATCAATAGTTAGTCAAGCGTTAGTTTCCTTATCAATAGCAGTATTAGTACTCTCCTACTATTTTATGCTTCGATCTTATTATCACCTGTTGTTTCTTTTTTGCTACTGTTTCTTTTCTTCAATATTTTCACTATTGTATCTAAAGATGAGAATCAAACTATGCAACCAACGTATCATCCAAAAAGACCTTTTCTTAACCTCCCCGAAACAAGCTGCAACACACAGCAATACGTATAATTTCAAACTTCAAACTCTCTTTCTATACCTAGAAACAAAATCATCTAGAACAAACAAGAAGAAATCGCCTAGTATTTTTGTCTCTCATACCTTATAGTTCTCCATCTACTTCATTAACCACTACGTCACACCCTAGGTGATACACTAAGGGGACGTTTGGTAGAGTGCATTTTATTTAATACACCAAATCAAACATTATATACGAAATAATATACTTAATTCAGCAATATTCTTATACACCCTGCCAAACGACCCTAAAGTGATAAAATTAGAAGGAATACCATGAGAAACAAACTAAAATACCAGCAAAGACAAAAAATTTAGGTAATTTCTCTTCGTCTATCTAAAACTTAGCAGGGTGTTCTCCTATACCTAAAATGCAACTGCGCAAGTCGACTCGAACACCATTATAAATAACTAAACCTTAATAACCAGTGAAACAATTCCAAAAATCACAAAATTTCAAAAAAAAAAAGCCAAATTTATCAAACCTGAATGCCAAAATCACTGGAGAGCAGCAACAAATGCAAAAAATCCAATCAAATCCAAACGTAATTGATTTGCGAATTCTCAGTTTAAAGTACTGAAAAAAAATTTAGGGATTTGGAAATCTAACTGGTGAAAACAAATGTCTTATTTTTCGGGTTAGAATTATGGGCCCAAACGCTATTCAGGCCTTCCTATCCAATTTATTGGGCCTAATACAAAGATGCCTATAAATTTCAGCCCGTTAAGTCTGTATTTAATTGCACGATTTGTTCTTCTAATGAATTGGGGTTTAATTTTTACTATTCAAATGAATTGATCTTTAATTTTTGTCCGTGATAATCAAACTTATGAATAGTGGAGCGTAAGTTCTTTAAGAGTGCAGAGCATAACTTGTGAATATTGTGGTGCGAAAATTATTTGTGTTGAATGACAAAAATTAAAGATCCATACAAAATAGATATAAAAGCAAAAATGACCCTTAATCCGGTGAGTTAAGGTTGGAGAAATTTTGCTCAAACACTAGCTTATTTTAGTCTAAATGTGTGTTTTTAATTAAAAAAATACTTATGTTAAAGAGTTGGGATGTTTGGTAAGATTTTAACGGGAAAATGTGATTTTGAAAAAAATATTTTCTCCCTATAAGTACGTCTTGAAAATCTAGTCAAGTATAAATTGTGGTTGTTAAATTAACAAAAAGTATTTTTCCAAATTGATTAACTATACATTAACTATTATCCTCCAAAAGTATATTTTCTGAAAATACCTATAAAATATTTCTTAAAATACATAAATTTTGAAAGTTTCCAAAATAATATCGAGTAAAATGAAAAACTTATCTCTCATCAATCAATAAAGTTACCCATACAATTCAAGAACATTATTGTCACAATCAAACATAAAATGGTCATTTAAAGTAAAGCATTACTATATATGTAGCATCATAACAATAATATACACGATCTTATTCTAACGTAATCAATTAGTGGCTACAAATTAAAGATGTCAAAGTAGATAAAAGAAAGAATACTAAGAATATAGTGTTATAATGGAACATTGATTAAAGATCCTCAAATAGTCTTTCATGCTTTTTAAGTATCAACTTGTTAATTGGCCTTCTATTTTCTTTTATTGGCTCTTTTATTATTGGGTATAAATAAAGAGATGATAATATCACAAATGAAAGCACTATTTTTCCCTTTTTTGCAAAACATAGAGTAAGGTACCCTATTTGGTATTCGGTACAACTATCCGATTTTGAGATCATCATTTAAGACAAGTATATAGTGCATAATATAAAAATTTGTCACATTATCTACTTCGAAACAATTTCATATATTTAGTGTCAGAAGTTAAATTTTAGATAAAATATTTAAAGTTATATGACTAAAGTTTAGACATATATTTCTTGAAGTTTTATATGAATATAATTAAAGCACATAAGCATGAAATTTCATAAATTGGAGTTCAGACACATATACACAAAGTTTAGTCATTTTTATATGAACTTTAGCCATATGCGACTCGATTAAGTCTTTTTTTTCTAACTTTGGGAGGAAATTCATGAACATTAGTTATATTAAACTTTAGATATTTTATCAATTAATCCTAATGTTCAGACATGTGATGTTTGAAGTTGTTCTAAAATGAATAGACATACATAAAATAAAATGGGTACATGTTGATTACATAACAATGTTGCAATAACATGTGAAAATTATTTATGTTTGCTGCCCGTTTTAGGCTCCCGACTAATTCAGATCCTCATCATATAACATCCGTCAAAGAGGATATTGCTGCCTATGATTTTTCTACTCTAAAGACTTAAACTCAAAAACTTTGATTTTTGAAAGTTAAATTATATGAATTTTAATAAATGTTTTAAGATATATACCTTTTTTAACTATATTACTATGAAAAGGATTGTAATTTATAGTATATTTCGTATAGTTTAAATTAATTTTTAAAATATAAATTAATCTAGTTGACTCAAAAAATATAACACTTAAAAATGAATGGAGAGAGTATCATTTTATTGGAACTTCCTCCCTTTCCACTAAGCTATTTGAAAGGTAAAAGGTAGTAAACATTGATTGATTGAACTTGTCAATATCATATTTCATCACCAACTTTATGTGGATTGAAATGGAAGGCTTTTGAGTTGAATTATAATTGTGATATGGGAAAAGTAAAAATTGACAATTTGTTGATGCAAAAATTAGGTCATAGTATAGTAAGCCAAAAATAAAGATTTTAGTGCCAAAAAATACACACAAAAGTGAGAAAAGAATGACTGTGTGGATGAAATAAGTTGTATTTTGATAAATAATGATTATGTCATTGTGACATAAACAAAAAAAAAGTAAAAACAGAAAAAGTGGTCAAATTTTCCTAAAGTCGAATATTTCTTCCCCTTTCTTTATTCACTTCTTCCTTTTCTTTTTTTAATCATTTGGAGTTTAATTAATTGAATTTATGCCGAAAATTTTCATATTTTAAAATTAAAATGTTCCTTATTAAAAATTATTCTATTTTTAGAGTTTGAACTTAAAATTTTTGGTCAAAAATGGAAAAACATTGACGGCTAGTGATGGAGCTAAAAGATTTATTAAGGAAGAAAATTGAAATATAAAAAAAGTAAATACAAGAATAGATCACAGATATTCAATACATATACATTATATACACAAAAAATAATTTGATATATATATATAAAATACAATTTTTCAGCAAGAGATTTGGTGTATTGAATTGAATTGAAAATGTAATTTTGATATTGCTATATATAGTTTGCAACATTTAGCTATCATGCAAGTCTCATATCAATCTATAGTCCAATCAAACTTTATCTTTCGATTTTATAAATTACTTATGAGTGGCGATATTCATATTTCTAAATCTAAAAATTTAACATAAAAATGAGATGAAGCTCAAAGACATTTATCCATCAGTAATAAAATTCATATTTGGTGTGCGAATATAAATCGATACATCTCCAACTTGCATTTCAATACTATGTAAAGTAATTATGTCTGGTCTAATTATTTAGCTGCTCTTTTAAGAAACGAAATATAAATTATCACTATTAGTGAGGACGAATTGGTAATTTAACAAGGTCACGACATAAATGCATATTTCACAAATATTCTTCCTTTGAATCACACGTGCAATCCTCTAGTTGGGGAAAATGATTAATTAAGGAATCAGTATATTATTATTAACAAGATTATGAAGTTTCTGTTCGATCTCCATAAGTCTATCGATTCAAGCAAGTCCGATTAACGAGCTAATCACATGTTTACCAGCTAAGCTAATCACATGGGCCAGATATGTAAGGCCCACTAGTAACACGAATATCCATGCAAAGCTGGCCCATGAAACAGTCCACTAACACTTTTTCTTGGCAACTGTTGCACATGCACCATTGCACGTGTGGGAATCTTCTAATATCGGGTCGGTATAAGGGGTTTATTAAAATATCTTTGGATGAATAATTATAAATAATATATATATATATTTATTTTTAAAAATTTCGTGAAATTTGAGAACTTTGTCATGTATAAATACATAGATAAGTTTTGTCTTAAAGCTAAAATTATTATAAAATCTCTTTAACTTTCTTTTCTTTTCTTTTTTTACGAAAAGAAGCCGGGAAAAGAGAGAATTACAAGATGAAAATCAAACTTTCGTTAATGTAGTACTAAAAATTAAAATATCTAATCAATTAAACTATTAAATTTTTAAAAGAATCTCTTAATTATTAGAAGTGAACGGAGAAAATGTTGCTCTTGCGATTTCAATTTTTAATGTAGCTCTTTTTCTAATTTGTTGGAAAATATTACTTATGTAATTTCATATTAGAATAATACTATAAAAATATTTTGGGTTGACCGTTGAGCGGATCTAGCATGAACAAAGTCATTTTGACTGGGGATGCACGTGCGGGTACACGTGTGTCTTGTTGTACTGTATTTTAGGTGTGCTACGTAGGAAGCACGTGACATTGATCCTGACTTTTAAGAAAGGATATTTAAAAAAGATTGGGGGGTTAGAAAAGGAAAAATAAGAAC